AGATATTCTTTTTCCTGCCAAATATGTTATCTGAAAATAAATATATTCATGTATATCAAACAATGAACACCATGTTATTTATCTTAGTTTTAGGACCATTATGGGTGTCAGTAAGCTCTGTGTCACAATCATCAATTCATACTGTTGATCATGGCCAAAATACAATAAGATATGATGTATTTATCGTGCAACTGCGTCAATAAGGTTGAGCTACAACCTAACTAGGAGAGGCAAATGCCATTATGTGAAAATTATAAAATGGAATTTCCAAGTTTGAATCAACAACTCAATATGATCAACAAAATCAATGTTTAGAATTCAAATATAAATTATTTGGGGTTCTATATATTGGACAAAATTATTTGAGAAATAATTTTATATTGAGTTATAGCCAGATGAGTATACCAATAATTAGATACAAAAGAGACCTACAGGACTAATCATGAGTTAAAAAACTTGAAACTTTCACACACTCAAGTCGACGGATCTGCAATCTTCTCCTAGTACAAGTTAATCAACTCACTAAAGAAGCATCCTCCACCCCCACTTAAATCTATACAATGAACACCTGAGATCCACCCCCACTTAAATCTATACAATGAACACCTGAGAACTACTTGTACATAAATTTTAGGTACTTCACACACTAAAAAATGTAACTAAAAGGCTAGCAGTAATAGGATTTAAAAACACATGTTCCTCCTGGAAGACCACATATACTCCTATAGTTGATAAAGATGTCCACTTATTACTAAGTTAATATTTTTCATTAAATGTGTATTTCATCTTCTTATATTTGCAAGGACAAGGTATTGCTAAATTAAGCATGACCATTAGATAAACTAAAAGATTAGGGAACTAAACCTCCGTGGCACCAGAAAGGATCTGATCTTCTATGTGAGATACCGAATGCCTTCTCCACTTTTCACTAATCTCTGTATCAATTCTTCCTACCTTTCTACGTGTTGCCTTCTTCATTTTGCCTTTTGCCACTATCAAAGGTGTTCTCCTTGATTATGCCTAGTTAATGTTTTGAAAAGCGGATGCCCTAGCCCATTTGTAAGGCCTCCTAGAATAAGCATTAACTAGGCCGCATACCTAGGTCTTAAAAGCACTTAGGGGAGCATGAGCTGCTTACGCGGACTGCACCGCGTAGATCTTAGTCATAATTTCCTCCACTATCGTCTCCACATATTCGAACCTCCATCGACTACAAACACCTCCTCTCCCTCCTCTGACCTTCGACAAAACCTCCTCCACCACCACTAAGACAAAACCTCTCCACCTACAGGTGCAACAGGTATTGTAAAAAGCTTGGTACAAAAGGAAAAGATAGCAATAAGCTCCAATGGCAAGTCAGCTACATGCTCCTCACAACTATTGTTTGCATGCTATTCTGACGTCTCAAAAAAAATCTAAGGAAAAAAAGAGGCAACAATGAAAGAAACATTTCGCTTGTGGCAAAATTGGAGAGGATCAAGGTGTAGGTACAGTTGATGGGGAATTATATGATGCCCTTAGTCGCTCTTGATCTCAACTTCAATTAGTTCAAGATATCTAATGACCAATGTGCATCGAAATGGATATATACCTCAAATTCCTACTAATTGGATTTATCTGAATGCTTATGCTTTTCAGATCAAGGTTTGAGAACTCGGTATTATCATGACTTTGGTTCATCTTCATTTTTACCAACAGCAGAAAATACAATGTTTTCGAGTTAGTAATAATAATACACGAAATAATGCAGATTTTATTTGCAAACTTTTTATTCATTACTTTTTAGAAGTTTTCCCAATGCAACACTTTGGAATCCACCTTTAGTATTTCAAAACTCAATTCTCTATTGTTTTGTCATTATTACCCAATATCAACTTAAATATGTTGTAACAACAATATTGGCGATACCACCTCATTTTGACCAGATCAAATTGGGATGCTTTGAATCAGATATCACAGTCAATAGATATCAATATCGGGCACTACGTCAATACTTGATTCAAATGAAAAACAAAAAATGCACCCAATATGTAGACCTTATATCTCAACTCCCAATGGTTGAATCTGGTTAATGTGCATTCAAATGGAAAATTTTCTTCTAAGAGTTTAAGCTATATGATACAACCTCCTATCTATTAAGGGACATGGTTTCAAATTTTTTTAATGAACCATGGAGCACAAATAAAACTTTCAAATGACAATACAATTAGATCTACGGTGTAAAAGATTTAAAACCCCTATAGTCAGAGATATTATTTGAAACAATTAAGATTAGGATTGTTAGCTAAAATTCTCAAACTATATGCTACACACCATGGGCAACAAATTCACTGTTTAAAACCATCAATAATATGAAGATTGATACATCATACACCGTCAAGAATTTCAAAACATTATGATTTACCTCCCAAATGCTCGATGAAGTTGATGCTTCTAAGATGATATATTGATATATTTCAATAGAGAAATTGATTAATTGATTAGCTTGACAGCCAGAATGAAGAAGGTGGGAATATAAGTCACATCCTAGCTTGTTGGAATTGAAGAAAATCAAACCTCTGAGGCCCTATAGTCAATTGATAAGTTGATACTATATACGAAAACTAGATGAAAAAAGAACATCAATAACTCATTATCCTACCTTGCATTGGGAGCTCAGGCTTCAATTAATGCGAGGGAAAAATCCATCATAAGGAATTTAGGCAGGAGGGTTTGAACGGAAATATGCTCAAGGATGCTTTAGACAATAAACTGAATTGCATATATTTCAATGTGAAATTTTCATTTATTCTCTGGAACTCTTTTATGATTTTGAAAGCAAAGCTTTTCTTTTATTATTCTCTCTAATATTATTTCTATTTATTCAGAATTTAAAAGTCAATAAAATTCTAATTTGCAATGCCCATATAAGATCTTCAGTATGACTGTATGAGGTCGGTTCCCAATTGCTCAGACACATCCATCACATTCTTAAATTTTGTCGATGAAGACAACAAATTAAACATGACACTATAATTGCAATGATATACGCCTATGTGATAATTCCAAATCATTCTAAAGTCAGCCACATACTCAAAAAAATAAAAATAAAAATAAAAATAAAAAAGAACAAAAGCAAATCGACAGTAACAAAAAGGATTCCAAAAGAGTGAACCCTAGAATTTTAAAAATGATTCTTGAAAATAAGTAGTCCACTCAATGAATTTCATCAATAAGATTTACTTCTCATGATAATAATATATCATCAAAGGCAAGGAGAAATACATAGCACAACCAAAACGTCATCAGCATAGACACTAGTCACACTACATTTATAGTATAGCAGATAATGTTCATTTCTTTTAGATGATAAAGAAATATCAGCTAAATGGAAAGGTCAGGACGGAACTGGCTGCTAGCACGAAGTTAGGTTAGGTAAGGACCTAATTACGTACCTTCTCACTAATTCCTCATTGGCCAAGGCCTTGTATCTTACAACTTACAAGGAAAAGCTTTGCCAGTACTAGCACTATATAAATGCATCTAACTAAAAATGGATGTGTGTATTATACTTTATGTCATTGATATAGTAAAACTTCTGCCTCTATTTTACAGGTTGCATTTATTAAATAACCAAAAGGTGTATTCTAGATTTCTCATGAAATTTCAATTTCAGCATCTCAAGTTCTTTTAGTCTATTTTTGGAATACTTGCTCCTGTGTTGTGGAGAAACAGAACATTTACACCCATTCTACCATGTATTGACAAATTGAAGCATTAGCCCCCCCCCCCCGGCGCATTGCCATCAACAAGAATTTCATAAAGGCAACCACAAGACAACAATTCACAGATTTCTTTTTTACTTGGCCTCATAATTAAAAGCTATGAATGTGCAAAATAAGATACTAAAATGCTTTAGATGAATGTGGTCACTTAAAATAGTACAAAGTACTACTTTCAAATGATATTATATAATCAGACTGACCAATACTAAATTACAAGATATGATATTTTCCTCAAATGGGGATGGGAAATAGTATCTGCTAAAGGAAATACTAACATCTAACAGCATATTTGCACATATATGGGCCAGAGACCTTAAAACATAAACTTAACTATTTGGCAAATGAATTCATTTCATATATACCAATGTGATATTTAATTATCCAAAGGCAGGGCTAATATATACTACTAACAACAGAACATAAAAATAGTCTAAAGTTTCCTTCCCAGTTCACTAGATAATCTACGAAATCTGAAATACAAACATCTACTGCTAACAAGAAATGCAGCATGCAATTGGTCTAGAGTTTCCTTTTTAAAGGAACTAGTACTAGTAACTCACAAGATAGTCTGGGAAATAAGGAATAACTACATATGATGCTTCATTTGGTAAACCGTAACTTTAAGTGCTGGAAACCTTAACAATACCTAACTGCCCAATCACGAAATCCACATTCATCTATGTGATATTTGTTATCTGAGGACAAAGTTGTAGCTTTATTCATCAAACAAAGCACACGACTTCTCTCAAGTTCTCTTCTAAAGATACTACTAACACACAAATAGCCTAATGTTTTGTTTGTACATTTGTTCCCACACATGCTAGAAACTTAAAGCACCCCTTGAGTATCCAACAAACAAATTCATAACTACGGATATGTTTTCCATTACCCAGGGCAAAGCTCAATGAAACTAATAACAAATAAAATGTGCAACTTGTCTAAAGTTTTCTTTTCTAAAGAACCAATACCAATAGGTAACCAACTAACCTCTAGTGTTCTATTCGTACTTGCATATGTCAGAAACCCTAAAACATATCCTATATTGGAAAAACAAATTCATATCTACCTACATAACTTAATTCTCTGAGGGTAAATCTAACAGACGTCAGTAATAAAAATTAAACTTGCAACCTGTCAAAAAAGTAACCTTTATAAAGAAGTAAAGGAGCAATACCATAAATCTAATAATTACTGCAATTCAATACGGAAAAAAACAGATAAAAGTAAGCTCCATACCTGAAAATGGGGGCTATTAAGGCACCGCCCGATCTGCTTAAAAAGAGGGACCATGCACTTTTGAAACTCTGCCTGCTGGGTGGCCTCAAGAACCTCCTCCAGCTCTCCCAAGAACAGCACCTCCTTTGGGCAATTCGTGACGGGCCAGTACTTCAGCAGGCCCCTTATAACCGTATCGGCAAGCTTATAATCCTTCTCCACAAACTGCGTAATACAATAGGACAGCTGCTGATGATAAGTCCCCACTGATTTTGGCTTGTGCAAAGGGATCAAAGCCCTCACAAGAAACAACTTGTGCTCCTCCTTCATCGGCAGAGCAAACCCATTAATAATACTCCCCAAGATCTCAAGAAGCTCACCAATCCCCGCATGCCTCTCAGTCTCAAAAATAAACCTATAGAATATGTTATTAATGGCTTTCCTAATAAAAGGTCTATGCACCATAAACTTGCCATAGATTCGGTGCAAAATCGTTTTAAGATACTCCCTCTCTCTAGGATCCTCGGTGTCGAACAAGTCCAGGAGACGGAGCACAAATGAATGATCAATGTAGCGTTTTGCAATCTTAGTATCGGTGTCGGACGACACAATGTAGCGAAGGAGAAGCTCGTAGACAATCTGGAGGTGAGGCCACGCCGGATCGAGATACGGATCCTCCTCGTCGGGATCCGCACCCTCGGAGCCCGTGTTCTCGTGGGACGCCGGAGGAAGGCATCGGAAAATGTTGGTGGAGATCGTACGAACGAGCTCATCCTGCACCTGCTCGGTGATTTTGCCGGAGCCCGATTGGATGAAATCAACGAGCTCGAGCAGGGTTTGCCGCTTCGCCTCCTTCTCCCGCGCGAATTTGAGGGTATCGGAGAAATCAAAGGAGAGGGAGCAGATCTGGAGCTTTCGGAGGAAGAGGGATTGGCGATCAGCGACGGGAACGTCTCGGAAAAGGGAGAGCTTCGACGCTGTTGTGGGCGGAGGAGGGTACCGCCGCCGCTCCACCTCCGCCTCCAACGCGCGGCGACGAGGGGATTGGGGAGATTGATTTGGGAGCGATGCCGAGGAAGAGTGCGTTAAGTCGGTGGGGCGGCGCAGCGAGGAGGCCGGAGGGAAGGCAGAGGGCTCGATGGCGTCGGATTTGGGGACCTTGCGGTTGCCCCGCTTCATGAATTTGTTCAGCATTTTGATCGGATTTGGGGATGAAACCCTAGATCTTGGAGGAAATTAGGTTTAGGGTTAGGGTTAGGGTTTGAGGCGAAGATCGCCGGAGGAGGGAGTGGAAGAGGGGCATGAAGGAGAGGGGGGAGAGGAGAAGCGGTGAATGGAGATTGGAGAATGACGATCAATCAATCACACAAAGTGGATTTTAATTTTAATTTTAATTTTTTTTCCTCTCATTTTCGGGAAATTATGATAACTGTTAACGGAAAGGAAAAGAAATGATTTTTGTATTTTTACAAAAATAGTCGTAGTTATAGTTAGTCATGCATGAGAGAAATTAGTCTCTCAAATCATTGATTGTTATTGGTTCCCTAATTCTTATAATATAATTATCTCAAATTAATCTATCAACTTTGAAAAGAATTTGAGTATCACTAAATGAAAATTATTTCAAGAAAACAAATTAAATTCTTTGAAGTGAATTTAGACTACATCATTCATGCCTCTATTTAATTAATTATTAACACGTTGCAATTAAAATGTCACGCCATCATTTACCTTGTTCTCTCTCTCATTTGGCTCTTTCCGCATTCAACGAATCTTAGGTTCAAAACCAGTCTCCATCTGACGAGATTAACAAATGACAACAACTATCAATTTTAATATTTTGCCCTCTTTGTGTTATGCCAGTTCAACTTTTTGTTTATTGTATTAATAACGTGGAGATTAAGAAATTAAATCAACCATATTAAACTCAACCATCTCTATCTTCCCCCTCCACCTCTTTCATCAAATACTAGTTTAGATTTGACATGTGGCACGTAAAGCTCTAGCGAAAGTGAGAAATCTTCTTTTCAAATTATTCTACATGCTAAATTATTATTGGCTAGAGGAACCACGTCGATGAAGTGATATCATCTGATGAAGTGATACATTAACTGCACTGGATACTTTCTATATCCCCTACCATCTTAATGGGAATAGTCCATCTCACATAAAGTGGGAATTCATGAGAAGTGAGAATGAGATTTTCAACCTCCCTATATGTATGGAGATTTTTTTTGAAATAGACATTGTTTGAAAAGTGTTGATGTTAATAACCACACAGATAATGTGATGGGGGGTGAGGTTAATTAAGGGCCGCTAACTTCTCTGAATATCTGGTTTTGAGTTGAGTAGCTTCTCCCTGCACAAATAGCAACTCATAAGAGGACGAGGACTAGTTCCCCTATTGTTCCTTCGACAATCAAGTCAGTGATGGACTTGAGTAGGAAAGTAATGAACTGTGTGAGTTCTTAAGTGTAGTGGAGTGGAGAAGAATTTTGAGAAATTGCTTACTCTATTGTTGAAAACAATACCCCTATTTTATAGTGGTGGTAAAATGGTACAATGGTAATTTTGACGAGCCTGAGTTGGCAGCCACATCAGCATCTGCTTTACATGTGTCAGTCGACGAGTGGAGAAGTGGTCACCTCAATAATTAATACGAAGTGATTAGGGGCGTGCGGTGCCGACGTGGTCCTATGTGTCATCAAAACTATTGGGGGTAGAGGAATGATGACACATGCCAAGTATTTAATGTGATGCCAACGCGCTGCCAGCGGGGGAGGTTCGAGGTTAAAGTTGTCCTTTGGCTTATAGCGAGGGGTGTCAAGAAGTAACGCTTTTCGAGTCGACCATGTAAGGCGTCGAATAACTGGTCGAGTGGACTCGTAGTGAGTCGTCTTTGACAAGAGGACCAACAAGTACCGCCCTTCGAGTTGATCTAATGATATGTCAACTCGACGAGTCGGCTAAGTCGGGATTCTTGGTGGTCTTGACCGTTAATTCGATTTGAGCGGTGCATGTAGGGGGACACATGTCCATTGCTAGCAAATGTCATACTTTGGTGATTAAAAACACCATAACAGTTAGCCCCTTTCGCTTGGAGTCGGCTTGGGCAGGGTATGAGTGAAATGAGAGCAGCTCTAGACGGACGTGAGTGTGCATTAAATAAGGGAACTGAAAAGTCTTTTTAGATTTCACGTGGCTGACGTCACCACACATACCTTTTGACTGCTACAGCTGTTTGCGTCGGGAATGATTTTTATTGCAGAATCCATGACAAACGTTTATTGTTTATAATAGAAATAAAAGAGTGAGCCTTACAATGATAAAACTTCTCTTTACAATAAAAAAATATCGATGTGCTCCCTAGAAACACACGCAGAAACTATTGTTTAGCAGCCCCTGCTTGCGTGAGATCTTTGCCTGTGCCAGGGATGCGTTAGCCCATGGACGACCGACTCACATATCTAGATTGATCTGAAGAAGGCTTGGAGTCAATATTTTGTTTTAGAAACAAGGATAGAAGTGGATATCTCAACAAGGTGAGATAAACACTCTTCTCAAGAACAAAACAAGGTTTGATCTCAAGGAAAATACCGAAGGCTCTCAGGATGTGAAAAACTCTCTCTCTGTGGATCACAAAGCTCACCAAAATGCTAATTCTCTACTGGCAATTTGCTCCCCCTTGTGCACAAGGGTGTAGGGGAAGTATTTATAGCCCATGGGAACCATTTTTGAAGATAAGAAGTCGAAACAAACTTCATCCGTCAACTCCTATTTTTGAGACGGTGTCTATTGTCTCGGAAGAAGGGGTGATTTTAGGCAGTTTTGTAATTGACGTTCAATCTATTAAATGTCATGATTTCTGGGGATTTTGAGTGCCTCTTCAGTTTGTAACGACCTCCCCATGTTTATGGATGATCCCAAGCAATTATGAAGCCACTTGGGTCGCACAAAGTCCAAGAAAACTATCTAAAGGGACATTACACTGCCTCACTATTTCTGAGACAGTCTACCTGTCTCGCATTTTCGAGACAATTGACACTGTCTTAGAAACTATGGACTCTTTGAGTTGTCATTTTTTTGTGTTTTCCTTGCTTCCTTTTGCTTCAGCTAGCCCTTGGACGATCTTCCCTGACTTAGACAATGACGTCCTTCGTTCTCTCTTCGTCTTGAGCTGTATTCGGGAACCTATAGGTAATTTTTGACACCTACAGATACCCCCTCCAAAGTTTTTAGCCTTCTTAGTATTTTATCGAGGAGTCTGGAATACTTTGGATGAGATAGACTATGTTTTTTAATCCCTTCAGTATTTTATCGAGGAGATTGCGTGAAAAGGACATATGAATGGTTTTAATTCTTTGACTTCTTCGGCTTTCAGCTTACTCAGTATTTTGTCGAGTATTCTGAAATACTTCTGGTACTGCATTTATCGCTTGATTATCATCGAAATCTGGAACTGGATCTGATATGTTGATGTCTGAACTAGCTCGTATTGTTGAGTTAATGTTAAACTGATCATCTTTGTAGGGAGTTTGCATCTAGATTGCGATTAAACTCCCCGGAATAATTCTTTGACCTAAAAATTATCCCGAGCCTGATTTTGGCAAAATTGTTAACACGTTGACCATCGTTGACCCCCATTGCGGCGTGAATACAGTTTATACTCATATATTAACTGGAGTCTACAAAGTTTAAGCTTTTAAGGCATTGGACGAGGAGGATCAGTTTGTACTCATATACTCATCAGAGTGTTCGTGAATTAGTTTAACCTCATATACCCGTTAGAGGTTCAAGGAGATGTAATTTATACTTGTATACCCAGTGGAGTGTTGTAATGCATTGTAAATGAATCGAGGATGCCGTGAAAATACACCTTGAACACACGTCGAGTTAAACCTTTGTGCGAGACAGTCATTACTGTCCCATGTGTGCGAGACAATTTACACTGTCTCGCATATGCGTGACAGTGTCGACTGTCTCGCACGAAGATAGACAGTCGGTTCCTGGGGGTTTTAAGTCCAAACTCTCAATCTTTTTGGGCTTTATTCGACCACTTTTCTGAGTTCAAACTTACTCCAAAACCCTCCAAAAGATTTTTATAAGTGTTTTTCCTTCCTTAATCGTCAATTTTGATTTGGATCTTGCTCGAAGAGGCTCTTCACCTAGGGTTTCAGACTTGTTCTTCAAGGTTTGACTTCTTGCCATTATATTTCTCTGTTATGCCTTGTTTCCTCTTGGTTCTTGATCAAAACCGAGGCTATGGCTTGATTCTTGGGTTGTTTTGGGTTTTATTTTGAATTTCTCCTAAAAACCAACTTTTTGTAGGATTTCGGCAAAGGCTCGCATTTTCCTTTGCTCCCTCTTCACTGAAGCTTGATACTTGTTAATTCTTGGTAAAAACCAACCCTAAAGCTCTTGATTATAGGTCCCTTTGAGATTTTATTTGGATTTTAACCTAAAACCCCTACTTTTTTTGCAGGATTCCGGATAAAATTCACTCTTTGACAATGTCTCCAAAGAGAGCACACATCCCGAAGAGTCGATCAACCTCTCATGCACCTAAGAGAGAGGATCTCGTGGCTTCATCATATAGAAGTGAGTTCTCTTGACTTTATTCCATTCAAAAGTTGGATTTTGCATGTATATCCTCATTTTCTCTCCTTCGTGAGGCATTCGGGAAGAGCTGGTACCCTCCTTTGTGGGGGTCGATGCTTAAAAGATGTGTTTTGCTTGGTCAAAACACGTCTCAAAGCAAAAGGGGCAATTTCACATTGTTTCGCACTTTGTAAGGCATGATATATTATCGTGTTATTTACACGATAATGTACATTATCTCTCGTGTGTGAAAAAAGGAAATCATCTCGCCAATCACAATGTAGTGATTCTATATCGTGAATTCACGGGATGAGTTCAAATCCTTGTTTCGCATTAGAAATATTCTTTTAACTGCGTTCCGATATATAAAACTTTTTCTTTGCAGTTAATTTCCCGTCCATAGCCTTCTTTGATAGAGAAGTGTTCGGTCAAAGTGGCATCACCTATGCTTCCTTTGACGGGAGTCCTTTGATTAGAGAGGCTCCTCAATTTAATGTGGATTGCCTGGAGGACGTCCCCGATCTTGTGCATCGAGAGAGTCATCGTATTCTATGTCAGTTGATTACTGACGTGTCATTTGTTAGACCCTAGAGGGGGGGTGCTTAGGGTCTTATGCTAATCTAATCCCGATTAAATGCCAATAAAAATTATATTGATTAATTTGTTCTTGCAAAAATAATATAAGATAGATATGAGCAAGAATGATATGAATAAGCAAAAAATAAAAAGTACGCTAAATAAAACACAAACAAACGATATGTTTACGAGGTTCGGTCACCACGATCTACGTCCTCGCTCCTCACCTCGAGGAGATC